TTTCCTTATTTCTGTTTACCTATTTGTGATAAAACATACTTGCCAATCCAGTGTTAGACATCCAGTGAAAATGTAGAGACACTTTTCTAAGGGTTATGTTTCAGTGATATGTATATTTGTTACAACAATTAGATATACCTAAACACTGTACTCTTATCTAAAAATTAGATATTAAGCATTAACAATCTATAAAATACATCTATAAACAAGTACACTCACTTAAACATCACTTTGATAACAAAGCTTGGTTAAAATCAAACTAAATAAAAGTTTTCGTAGGTCATTTAATATCTTATAATTAGATAAAGACAACTGGTGAAAAGTTTTATACTATAAGAGAAATTTAAATGTTTTCCCAAAATCACAGCATTTAATGGTTCTGGTAAAATCATAATTTCATGATGGTCATACTAAAAAAAATTTTTTTTTGGTGGAACTGGGGATTGAACTCAGACCCTTGTGCTTTCCAGGGAAGCGCTTATTCTATTGAGCCATCTCCCAGGCTCCCTATATTAAAATGTTATACTGACTTTATTGTCAAGTTTTCTCAGTACAACTCCATAATTACTATCTGCTAACATTCTATGATGATTTAACTTCTTACAACATTAGTTGATTAAAAAAAAAAACAACAATTCATTATTCCTACTATATATTTCACAGTGCTCAGTATCTAAAGTCATAAAATTAAACCTACTGACCAGACTACTTGTCAGATATAACTGATATTCTCTTTTGAGTGTTCAAAAACTGAGGTTTAGAAATGAAAATTAAAAGGATAATTGGGCTAAGGAAGACAGACAATGTTTTGACACTGTCCTTCCAAGGTGAACAGGATTTAGGACAAAAAAAAAAAAAAAAACAAAACCCAATAAACAAAAAAACCAACCAACCAACCAACCAACCAACCAAGCAAACAAACGAAGAAACAAACAAAAACTCTCCTACAGCTTTGACAGGTCAAGCTATCTTCTAAGACAAAAGAATGTTGGGACCCAGGAAAAAAAGTCATCAGTGTGCAATGTGGCAAAACAGAGTCATCAAAAAGAAATGGCATCGTGCTTCCATGAAACGTCAAATGGTCCAACAGGACTGCCACCCATCCTGACAGCTGAAACAAAAAGTGCTGAGAGCTTCTATACATGGTTCCAAAAAAAATCACACTTGAAAGACTTAAGTAACCTTAACAGGTAGCAAAAAGTTCGTTTTCATTAACACACGTCTCAGTTTAACTTGCTCTTAAGCATCCGCCATAATATAACCAAAGGATATATAAAAACAATGTATTATGATTATACAGGTTAAATATAAACAGGGAGCTCTAATAACTGACCTCTGATGACAGTTTCTTGCTACATCTAAATCTGATCACTGCTTCAGTTTAATGAGGCTAAGAGCTAAACTAAAAGTTATAAAAACTAAATACGGTTTTAAACTTTTTTCTAAAATTATCCTTCAAAAGCACCAAACTCTACACATTCTTTCAGATAAAACCAGAGAAACTTGTGAGAAAAGAAAAATCAAACTTATAGATAAACACCATCAGTAGAGGGGTCCCAGAGCCGCCTGGTTACCGTTGTATTGTAATCACTTCAAAATAGTAGCTATTTCCACAGTTAGCCTTTATCCTGTGGCTTATGCTTTAATTATACATGACTTAATCTCTTTAAAATTTGTTTATTATCACCTACAGGCTACCAAACTCCAAGTAATCATACAGATAAAGTCAACAACAAACTCGCAACTCCTTTTTGCGGACTCCATTAGGCAACCTTCTCAAGGGGGTCTGTAACTACTCAACTGCGATGCAACTTCTGTCCAGAGCCCTTAGCTTAGCCTTCAGGAAATGCCTCTCGACTGTGGTCTCCTCTCTACTGTCTTTTCTCAGCTCACTACATTTAGATAACAACTTCACTCATTCTCCTCCAGGCACAGTTAGAGATGAATCTTCAGAAAGAAAGTACTACAAGCAGATAAATTAGATAACAATAGACCAAAACTGTGGTTCATGGCACATCAGTTAAACATTGGACTTCAAGATAAAGGCCTGAGAGATAGCTCAGCTGACTAGATAAAGATACAATTACCAGGCCTATATGGATCCTGGAGTGATAAAATAACTTGAGATTTATACTGTGATTGGTATCATCTGGTCCACTAAGGTCCAGATAGATATCAGTTACCAAATGGGTGAACAAAATGTCCCAACCCAGTCATCCAACTGAGTGACAAGCAAACCTGTCCTTTCCCTAAATCTCTGTTCTTTTCCAAGTGCCCTTGTTATCTAACTCACTTTCTTATTAGGTCAACATTAACTAAACAGCTATCCCTACAGTTTGATCTACATTATACCCACACTGTGACATTGCTATATGAAATACCTTTAACAAAAAGTCTTAATGGCAACAGTTTTGAGATCTCAACTCTCTTGCAAGAATGATCTTGCAATTAAACTTTCCTACTTTTAACTTTTGTCCTCTAAAATTCATTCTTTGGTTTCAAAAACACACACTTGACTTGTGTAACATCTCAGGGGTTAAAAGTTATATTTATCTTATATCAGTGGGAGTCTCCAATTCATCATTGATCAGCCAGAATATCCGGCTGGCTGAGACTTGCAATTCTCATCTATAGGAAGGGCCAACTATGAGACTGGACTGTTTGACTTACGGGACCTGAAGTTAAATCTAGGCAGATTACATCTGAATTGAATGGAGATGTAGGAAATTCAGCTAGTGTCAGACAGTTGTTCAGGGTGGGAAAAAACCAAGCAAACATGTCTGGTCTCAGAAGGATTCTGTATGAGTAAAGAAACTTTTTCAGGACATAGATGGATCTATCTATCTATCTATCTATCTATCTATCTATCTATCTATCTATCTATCTATCTATGAAGCAACCTAATAACACATCATCTTTACAAAAATATTTCAAAATGCTCTTAATGGATATACAGAAAATTTAAATAAATGGAATTAAATGTTCGCCAATATTATAGGTCTGTTTTTCCCAACTAGTCTATAGAACCATCTAAAACCATATAAAAATTTGCATGTAAATATAAAGATTCAAAAATAGATAAACCAATTTATAGAAAAAAGTATACAATAGCATAAATATAACAGAGTGGGTGGGTAAGGGAGAATTGCCATATGAGATTTTAATAGATATTTTCAAAATAGTTAAGTCAATGTTTGAGAATAGACAAATCAGTGGGACAGAACACGTGTGAAAAATTGATAAACATTGTATAAAAACTTCAGATATGATGAAAGTGGTGGGTACCACAAGTCAATGAAGAAAACCTATATTCTAGGCTATTCCAATGTCCATTATTTGATATCTGATTGCTATGGTTCGTGTCTAGTTGTCCCTGCAAAGCCTCATGCAGTCGCGGGGCAGCTTCTGGAGTTTATGATGTATTATTGTGGGGGTGAGTGCTGTACTCTGGCCCTGGGGTGGGTAATCTGCTTTACAATGTCAGGAGGAGAAAGAGGCTTGCTAGCAGCAGCAGCTGCTGCCCCTCCCTTTGTTCTTTGCCTTCTGCTGCTGCCATGAGTGACTTGGCTGTGCCCTGTGCCACTCTGCTTTGGAGTCAGCTGAGTATGAACTGGAACCTCCACGAACTGTGACCTACACAAACCTTTCTTTCCTTCATTTTGAATGTCAGATATTTGTCCCAGTAATGAAAGAAGAGTAATCAAGGCACTGATAAAGAACACTGGATATCTAGCTCTCCTTCATGCTGCATAAAGACTTGAAACGCTTTAAAGAAGTAAGTGCAAAAAGTAAATTTATAAAGCTGTTAGGATAAAATTTAAGGGAATATTTTCCTAAATTAGAAATTGCAGCACATTTTTTTAAATATGACCCTCAACCACTAAATGCATAAGTTACAATTATTAAGATTTCATTTCATAAACGATGCAATAGAAAAATTAAGAGGAATATAACCAAAAATATATTGTGCATATGATATGCATCATTTATAACAAAAACATAAAATTAGGAGGAAAAAATATAAAAATATGGAAAAATGTGCAAAGCGAATAGGCATCTTGAAACAAAAGTCTCAATAGCTCATAAAGAAATAGCTTAAGGCGATGTTCAACCTTACTACATATCACGCATAAAAGCATCCATGGTCTGTCAGAAAGCAGATTAGTGATTGCCTGGCAAGGAAGATGTGAGCAAGAGAGGACAGAAAAAATTATAAAGGGGCAAAATGAACCTTTGGGGGTAGTGGATATGTATATTATCTTGCTTGGGTGGGTGATATTTCCACAGTTGTATACATTAGTTAAAACTAATGGAGTTGTATATGTTGAATGTGTATGATTTATTGTATGTTAATTATACTTCAATAAAACTGTGTTTTCTATTCATTAAAAAAGCCATTAACTACCAGTTCCTGCATTCTGGAATAGGTAACATCAGAATTAGATAATTCCACGTTTGCAAGGCTGTAAGGAAAGGGGAATGCTTGCGCAGAAGTGTTGGCATGGCTCATGACGGCTCCCAGGACTTGGAGAATTGATCTGTGCATGTCCCTTGTGGGCCAGGACAGGGCTCACAGCGCACCCTCATCCTTGTGGACATAAAAATACATAATGCAAGATAGGAGTATTTTACAGATAAGTTTCTTTTTGTTCCAAACAGCGTGAGGTCCAGTCACTTTGCTCAAAGAAATGAGAAAAATAGGGACAAATATAGAAGACAGTGTCTGCTATATTTAAACAGCTTTAAAATTGTGCATCATTCCATTCAACATTTAATGCAAAACCTTGAATAAGTGGTATATTTGAGCACTGAATTCTAAGACGCCAAAAGCGTCAACTGGCTCTTTAAAAATAAATAGCCAGGGAGATGGCTCAGTGGAATAAGCGCTTCCTTGGCAAGCGCAAGGGCCTGAGTTCAATCCCCGGTTCAAAAAAAAAAAATCAAGAAATAGATTAGCAAGTGGCCAAACAGACATTTAAGTAAAGGAAATGTTCTTTTACCTCAGGAGAACCATATATCCAGGAATAGCTGCTAATGAATAAATGAAACTGCTAATGGTTGACAAGATTAAGAAGTACTGGAGCATCATGGAGCAGGTGTAGCCCTTGTAGCACAGCCCGAGCACCGCAGATGCATTTCCTGATGTTTGAATGCAGCTACAGTTTTTGAACACCTGTTAAAAAGTAATAAATTATTTGATTTAAATAGGAAGAAAATTTTCAATACAAGAATCAAAATATTTTCCACATAGTTAATTGCATCAAGGGAGAGGTTGCTGGGGTTGCAATGTAGGTTGATGATAGAATCTACCTTAGCAAGTGTGGGGCTCTGGGTTTGATCCCCAAACACCCTGCACATGCACACACATACACACACAAAGATGGAGATTGTTTATTCCTCTTAATCTCATGTCCTTATGGTGTATCTCATAAAACAAAGGATAGGGGAGTAATTCCAAAAGTTTGGTATTTTTTTCTATATATAAATCTACACTGGCTTAGCTATCCTAGACATATGGTATTTTAATGAAAAAAGTAATTCTCTGCAACAATATTGTGAAAAACAATCTGTTTCAGAGTACTCAGTTGAAAGTAAGATGTTTACAAATACAAAATCTTTGTCAAGTGGATTCAACATAGCTATAGTTGAGATGCATTGTAGTTGCTCAGAGAAAATAACCTAAAGATCACAGGTGATTGAAAGAAAGGGAGCGAAAGATACCGTGATGCCAACTTCAATCTGAAGTTAAGGACTTGTAAACCAAACAAAACGTAGCCATAAGACTTTATAAATCAGTGATGGAGCAGACACATACACCTGTGGGAACTGCTCCTCCACACAGAGCAGGAATGACCATTATGGGAAGTTTCTTAAAAGCTGGTGAGCTCCAATGTCATGGCAAACTCAAGCCACATAGGATAAATTTGGGACATAAGGTCCCTCTCCTCTTTAGCCATTTTCCAAATAGGACATTGCAGAGTGGCAGCAAATTTTACAAGGATACACAGAAGTAAATAACCAGGAAGCTGCTCCCTCCCCAGTGAGCTGCCAGGTTGTTTGTTGCTTCTCATGAGCTATAGTGGCTAACTGGAGCTTCTAGTGACAACAAGATTAGATGCCAATCCAAAGAGTAGTGAAAAAATGTTCTTTAGGTGTTTAATGTATCTAGGCTATATAAAGAACCAAAAAAATCAGATCCCTCAAATTTAAAGACCCAGGCCAAAAACGAGAATCTGAAACAAATAGACACTTGTCAAAAGTAGTAGGAGAAAGGGCAATTAAATACATGAAAAAAGTTCAACATCACTGATAATTCAGACAATGCTGAGATTGTATCTCATTCCAGAAAGAATGGCATCTTATCAAGAAGTCAGCCAATAATGAATACTGGTGGGGTTGTGCAGATAAAAGAATGCTTTTCTACTGTTTGTGGGATGTAGCTTAGTGCAGCCTCTGGGAAAATCTTGAGACATTGCTAGGTAGATGGATGCACCTCGAGACATACTCTAAAGTGAAGTAAATCAGACACACATGTCAATACTGTATTGTTCTTCTGGTATGAGAAACCAAAAGTGTAAATAAGGCTGAAAATGTGTAATAGGTATTGTGAAAGAGGAATAAAATATTCAAATGGGAAGGGGAACTAGGGAGGTAGAGGGGGAAAAGGGTGGGAGGGAAAAGAAAAACTGAGAAAAGAAGAAAAATGAAAACAAAGGTTTATAAGTAATGAGGGGAAAAAGTGTTGAACAGAGGATAGGGGGATGGGAAAAAAAGAAGAATCAACTTATGTAAATTCTCTGTGATGAATGTGATAATTGTATATATTTAAAATGTACCAATAAATTTAATTAATTAAAATATCAAAAGTTCTTCAATTTCAGGAAATGGAAAGATATTCCCTGCTCCTGGATCACAAGAACCAACATTGTGAAGATGGCCATACTCCCAAAATTGCTGTACAGATTTAATACAATCCCTATCAAAATAGCCACAAATTACTTCCCAGACCTAGAGAAATCCCTTTTAAAATTTATTTGGAACCAGAAAAGACCTAGAATAGCAAAGGCAATCCTGGGCAACAAAGACAAGGCAGGAGGCATTATAATTCCTGACTTGAAATTATGCTACAAAGCTACTGTGATAAAATCAGCATGGTACTGGCAATGAAATAGACCTGAGGATCAATGGAATAGATTAGAAGGTGCAGAAACCTCTACAAAAACATTCAGCCACCTGATCTTCAACAAAGGGGCCAAACATACTTACTGGAAGAAAGATAGCCTCTTTAAAAAATGGTGCTGGAAAAACTGGCTCTCTACATGCCAAAAACTCAAACTTGACCCATGTCTATCACCATGCACTAAGCTAAAGTAAAAGTGGATTAAAGATTTACACATTAAAACAGAAACACTAAATCTCCTGGAAGAGAAGTAGGAGGAACTCTTGAAGACATAGGGTAGGCAAAGAGTTCATGAACAAAAACTAAATTGCACTGGTAACACTTGAAAGAATTGACAACTGAGACCTCCTCTTATTAAGAAATTTTTGCACATCAAAAGAAATTACCAACAAAATCAAAAGATGACAACCCACAAATTGGGAAAAAATCTTGACTAATAGGCACTCAGACATAGGTCTGATCTCTAGAATTCATAAAGAACTGAAAAACATTAGGAGCCCAAAATTTAAAGACCCAATCCAGAAATGGGCATT